TGGTGAGCGAGAATTTCAGGGAGAGAGGCGAATGGCAACAGTTTGCTACGGGTTACAATTAAATCAAAATTGTGGTTATAACATTTAATTTGAATTAATAGTTTGTTATTATATACAATTTTTCCATTATTTATTAGCTTATACGGATCATGAGATTATTTATTTATATAATTATGTGATTTGTACATATTATGCAAACCAAAATTATTATTTTTCAATTAGAAATTGTGGCTATAAAATTTCAAATTAAAATGTTGCTAATAGAATACAACAATGTGTGGCCTTTGTACTTAAAAAGACATTTTATAAGTATAGATACTATGACAACACTTGAAAAGTAGACTTGGTAAGGGGACCGGGTCGGCCCGCCACGGCTCGAAATCCGTCTCACCGGACCCGGTTCCGTATGTTATCGCGGTCTGGGGGGATTTAGGGTGGGGGGACCGATTAGGGGACGGTTCGGCATATCGTCCCGGTCGACCCGACCTGGTCTGGCCCGGTTTCGGCACGGCTAAACCGGTCGGTTTCGCGGGACATGTATTAAATTTTATTTTATTTTTTGCTTTTCAAATTCTATCTGTTGGGGCAACGGCTAGTGCCCCCCTCCCCTCAATGGATATAATCAGCCTTTTCACTTCTCCAACACCCCCTACCACCCCCTACTACCCCCCTACTTTTATAACTTTAATTTAAACCCTAAAGTTATAATAAATACACTTTAATCCATTTTTAATATTATAAATACCCCGTATCCTTCATTATTTCTTACAAAATCATCTATTCTCTCATCTATTTTCTATATTCTCTCATTCTTAAATCTTAATTCTTGATTCCACTTAATTCTCAATTATAAATTTTCATATTATATCATAATATATATATATTTCAATTCTAAATTTCCATATTATATATATATTAATTCTCATATTTGCGATCAAGTATTGAAGTTCCAAATTACAACTTACATCAAACTACCATCTTCAAGAACCGGTTATAATGTATGTTATTAACGCATACGTTTGGTACATTCGTTTCATAATATTTATATTTAATTTTTAACAATTAATTTTTGTGTTATTATTATTTTTATATTACACTTCACATTTTATTAAATATGAGTTCTAGCAAAAAAATATCGGTAAAGAGAAAGTAGCAAACACTATTAGTAATCTATTTATTTTTTCTAAAAAAGGTAGTAAGGAAAAAAATAAAATTAAATGTGGTGGTTCTTCTTCTAAATCAATGTCTAGAGTTAGATTTAATAAAAATGATTCTACTTATGTTGATGATACTTCTTTTGATATTGATTCAAATGTTCAACTTGATCATGAAGTTTTAGAACAACGTTATGGTAATATGAATCCTAATCTTGATGAAAATTCAGGTGAAGAAGTAGAAGTTGGTTCGGGAGAAGAGGAATTAGAAGATACACCTACTAGTCCGGTGACAGAAGTT